ACAGCCTCCAAAGCCACAGAGAAACCCTGTCTCAAAAAACCAAAAAACCAACCAACCAAACAAAAAACAACAAAAAAAACCCTTATCTTGCCCACGTTCAGTGCTGATCTCTTGAACCCCTCCTGTAGGGAGAGACAGACTATGTACTCAAATTTTAAAAAAGCTTTAAATAATTGTTTGCTTTAATTAATTTGGTCATGATTTGGGTGGGTGGTCTTTCTCCTCAATTCTTTGGAATTAACCCCAGTTGCTGCAGAGAGTCCTGAGTGCTGGGATCCCAGGCATGAGCCACCTGCCTGACTCAAGCCCCTTTGTATACCCACCAGAGTGTCCTGGGCTCTGTGCACATCGGGGATATGGGCCAATCCTCACTGGAAAACAGGAGGTGCCAGCAAGGCTTTGAGCTGTGAGCAGGAGTGATGAACAAAGGCTGGGATCAGGTCTCCTGACTGTTAGCAGGGAGCACAAAAGACTCTGGAGTCAGAACTGTATTTTTAGCCCCTTTGGATGACTGAATAGCCTATCCAAAGGCCCTGGGGGAAATGAATCACTGTCAGAGCCAGCCTGGTAAACCCATCTATGGAACTCAGCCAGGATGTTGGAGGTCAGCTCAAAGGGCCCCAGCCAGACCCCAGGGCTTCCTGCTGCGTCAACAGGAAGGGCAGCAGAGAGAGTCATCCTCCTGGTGGGGCAGCAGGTGTGAGCTCCTGATGAGGCCTCAAGCTTGGACTCAGGCTACGACAGCAGCCTGAACTTACCTGGGAGAAGGCCTATGGTCTGGGTGTGACAAGAATAAACCAGGCACAGCTTTTGGCTGTTGTCAGGGCACCCAGGAAGGCCTGTGAGTACAGAAGGGTTTCAGAGAGCTGTGCTAGCCAATACACACCTATCTGTCTCCTGAGTGGCTGATGGCTCTGTCCTCAAGGGTCTGAGTGTCACCAGCACAAGCTGGTCCAGAACTGAGGTATGCTGCTCCACAGTGCCATCTGGAGGACACCATGAAACAACCACACAAGCTTCCATTTAAATTCTTATTTATTCTGAGGGAAGGGGCATATGCCACCAGGAGGTGCCTGTGGAGTTCCCAGGACAACTTTAATGAGTCGGTTCTCTTTCTACCATGAAGCTTCTGGGGATCAAATTTAGGTCATTAGGCTTGGCAACAAAAGCCCTTTCCCTGAGCCCTCCAACCGTATAATTTTTTATTTATTATTATTTTTTTTGGGGGGGGTGGGTTTCGAGACAGGGTTTCTCTGTGGCTTTGGAGGATGACCTGGAACTAGCTCTTGTAGACCAAGCTGGTCTCAAATTCCCAGAGATCCACCTGCCTCTGCCTCCCAAGTGCTTTGATTCAAGGAGTGCTCCATCAACACCCGGCCCTAATAGACTCTTTAAGTGCACACAATTTTTGTTTGTTTTGGTTTTTCGAAACAGGGTGTCTCTGTAGCTTTGGAGGCTGTCCTGGAACTCACTCTGTGTAGACCAGGCTGGCCTTGAACTCACAGAGATCCACCAGCCTCTGCTTCCCGAGTGCTTGGATTAAAGGAGTGTACCACCATGGCCCAGCAAGTGCATAAAATATTTAAAAAAATTATTTTTAGTTATGTGGATGTGTGTGTGTGTGTGAGGGGCATGAGTGCAGTGCCCACAGAGGGCAGAAGAGGACATCAGCTGATCCCCTAGAGCTGGAGTTAGAGGCAGTTGAGTCACCTGATATGGTTGCGGGGGAACCCATCTTGGGTCTTCTGCAAGAGCTTTTAACCGCTGCACTGTCTTCCCAACCCTTAAGCGTGCAATCTAATGATTTTTCATACAGTCGTGGGGATGCACAGCTGTGCCTGTCACCTGTACCCACTTTCCTCTCACCATACCCCCTTCAGGCAGTCACCAAGGTGCTTCCTGTCTCCGTGGATCTGCTCACAGCCTAGGCTGGCCTGGAACTTGCCATCCTCCTGCCTCAGCTTCCTGAGTGCTGGGATCACAGGCATGAGCCACTTGCCTGACCCAAGCCCCTTTGTATACCTACCAGCATCCAATTCTTTCCTTTGGAGACCTGGGTTGGACACAGGCTCTTCCATTCCACAGGCTCTTCCATCCTCCCCATCTATCATTGCTTAACTCCTTCTCCTCTGAGTGCTGCTTCTTTTTGTTTTTTGTTTTTTGTTTGTTTGTTTGTTTGTTTTTTCGAGACAGGGTTTCCCTGTGGCTTTGGAGGCTGTCCTGGTACTAGCTCTTGTAGACCAGGCTGGCCTCAAACTCACAGAGATCCTCCTCCTGCCTCTTCCTCCCAAGTGCTTCGATTAAAGGCGTGTGCCACCAACGCCCGGCTGTTTTTTGGTTTTTTTGTTTTGTTTTGTTTTAAGACAGAGCTTCGCTAGCTCTCTATGTAGCTCTGGCTGTCCTGGACCTTACTATGTAGACCAGGCAACCTTCAATTCACAGAGATCTGCCTGCCTGTCTCCTGAATAGAGTGCTGGGATTCAAGGCATGTGCTATCATGCTTTTTGGAGGGCCTCCTCATTTGACTTTTAGGTTTAGTTGACAGCTTTTTATGGGGGCAGGATCTCATGTAGCAAAGGCTGGCCTTGAACTCACTGTGCAGCTGTTACTCTTGAATCTACCTTCTAAGTGACGGCAAATAGCACTATTTCCCCCCTCCCCCCCCAGTAGTGTAGGTGCTGGAACCCTGTGCTTACTAGGCAAGGGATCTACCACTGAGCTCTGTCACCAACCCACACATCACTTCTTTCTACCACACAGCCTCTCAGAACCTGTTCCTGCACAAACAGCCAAAGGTAGAGTATGTCAAGCATCTGGGGTAGTCCCTGCTGAAGTGTAAAGGCTTGTGTGGTATCCTCTGCTCTCTGCTGCCTTGGGCAGTAACCTCAGGACTCAGGGACAGGTTCACCATGTCACTGACCTTCCTTTCAGCAGGAAGAACTGTGATCACCTCCAGGAGTGGTATACAGTGACAATGCATGTTTCTCAGGCTGGGATCAAAAGTCATGAAACCTGCCAGGCAGTGGTGGCGCACTCTTTATCCCAGCACTCAGGAGGCAGAGACAGGTGGATCTCTGTGAGTTTGAGGCCAGCATGGTCTACAGAGCAAGTTCCAGGCAGCCAGGGCTACAAAGAGAAACCCAGTCTTGAACAACCCCCTGCCCCCCAACTCCGCCACACACACAGTCATGAAACCTTCGCTCATTACACTGGGGACCTTCACTCTGGTGAGCTCTGGTTTCCATGTCAGATATGCACATCAGGTCACCATGTGGAGAGATAAAGAGACCAGGGGTACCAAAGACAAGAGGAAGCATGAAGGAAAGAGGTCTAAAGGAAAACCCAAGTTCTTCCTTGTCTTCACAGACAAGCACTAGGAAAATCTGGAATGTTAAACACACAAGGTTGTTCCTTCAAGGGAAGGGATGCATAACCTGTTATCTGTCCAGAAGACTGGAAGTGGATGTGTTTAATAGCCTGGTAACCTTTTCACTATCTGTGTGGTCAGAGACCACACTGAACCCTCTCCCAGATCCTTATCATAAACATGCTTTTCTTAGTCATCTATAGAACTCATCTTTTTGGAAGGTGTCACTTTACAAAGAGTTTCTATGTAGTCTTGTCTAATCTTTATTTAGTCTACTTTGTTCCTCAAGGAGATTTATGTGTACTTTATTGTACACCCAGGATTGAGTTAATTATCACCAGCAAAGTCTTCACCAAATTGTGCTGTGCTTAAATATAACTAAAACAAACTACTTAGGATCAGGCTCCTGAAGTTTGAACCAGCACCAGCTACTGAACTCTGTCTTGCCTCCACAGATGGATACTTGACCATGAAGGTCCAAGAGACTCCTACACTAACTACCTTTTGGGATCCCCCACCCCATGGAATGGGTGACTTCATGACTGTGTGAGCCTCAGGTAAGAGCAGCTTTACTGAGCTGATGCTCCCATTCCTCCATGTCACAAATGATGAGCACCCTACTTGGCTGTCACTCTTTGAAATGAAATGAAAACATTCCAGGTTTTCCTAGTGCTTGTCTGTGAAGACAAGGAAGAACATGGGTTTTCCTTTAGACCTCTTTCCTTCATGCTTCCTCTTGTCTTTGGTACCCCTGGTCACTTTATTGACATGTCACTCCACAAAAGACTAAGCTCCCTTCTTCCCGTTTTATCACCCTGAAAACTCACAAACACAGACAACTGACCACTGGCTGTTGGGTGGCAAGGTAGTTAGTTACCTTCAGCAGGGTCACTAAGCTGGGCCCTGAACTGATGACCTGGGAATATTGAGTGGAGGAATTTGTGATAGGCAGCTTCCAGGTGTGAGGTGTGCAGGTCCCTTCACTCTATGGATCTGGATTACCTGAAGGCACCCAATGGTGACTGGCTTGTTCACAGGTGGCCTTCTTAAAACTTGCAGGCAGGGAGCCAAACTCAACCACACAGGTCCCCAGGAGAGAGGAGCCTCTGTTTCCACCAACAGCTTCTGTTTTTTTTTTCCTGTTTGGTTCTTTGAGACAGGGTCTCTCACTCGGCAACCCAGGGTGGTCTGGAACTTGTGGCAAGCCTCCAGCCTTAGGTTCTGGAGCACTGTTTTTATTTTTGTTTTGTAAAACATGTGATGGATGGAACCTAGAGTTTCATGCAAGGGCTGTACCCCCAGCCAGTCTTTCTGATCAAGGGGACCTATTGCATGTTCTAGCCCAGACTGCTCCATTTCTAGCTTTTTTTTTTCTTTGTTACACAAACTACCCCAATTGACACACATCTCAGGTAGCAGGAATTCAGTGTGGCAATCAAGGATCTGAACTATACTCCTGGGTAAACACAGTCATTAGAGGCACAACTAAAGTGACACTGAAATGCCCCAGTCTCTTACAATGTTCAAAGGAAGCCTCGTTCATTTCCAAATTATACATACTCCACATGCAGAGGGTTCATCTTCACAGAGCAGAGGAGACAGACACACAACCACATAATAACCACAAAGAACACCCCGGCAAGAAAGTTGTTTTAATTTTGTATTTTAGGAACTGAGAGCTCCGTAAGGAAGTCAAAACAAATGCAACATGCAGAAAGTTAACTAAGGAGGCAAGACAGGAAAACTTTGAAGGGCAAAAAATTAGACACAAAAGCTTTGAATTAAAAGCATATACAGTTACAGATCTGTGTGATATTAGGAGCCAGAAGGCACCAAATGCATCCATCACCATAAAACTTTACTGATTTTGACTGGGGCAATTTAATATCAAACCTAAAGACCTTTCTTCTTGGGTCAACACAGGTTCACATTATGTTCATCCAATGCTTTTATTTTTACTATTAATTTATTATTATGTCATTAATTAATTTGAGACAGGGTCTCCTGTAGCCAGGGCTGGCCTCAAACTTACTGTGTAGTCAAAGGTGACCTTGAACTTCTGATCCTCCTGTGTCCGCCTCCCAAATGCTGAGATTACAGGTTTGGGCCACCATGCTCAGTTTACGTGGTGCTCGGGATGGAGGCCATGGGCTTCCTGAATGCTAGGCAAGCACTTTACCAACTGAGCTGGAGTCCCAGCCTCATCCATTCCATGCTGTTAACTGAGACACAGCTTGTTAAGGCACTCGGCTCTCCTTAGAAGCCACCAATTCTATTCACATCACACCACACACACCACACACACCACACACACACATACTCCCCATCCACCTGAAGTCAGAGGTCAAAGAACGGGGATGGCGTGCTGTATTAATGGAGGTACAGTTAGGTGTTTTTTACTGATTGGGGTAGACAGGAAGAGATCAGAACCCCAGCCATACATGTGTTAGAGAAATGATCAGTCTGAAACAGAGTACACATGTGGATCAGCTTCAGGTAACTCTCCTACTCTGCACTCCACTGAGCAGGAGCTCCAACAGAAATACAGATCCTCTGAAGGGCATGAACTGCCTTCCTGGTACAGCAGTGCTCTCTGGTTCAATCAGAGGTTCAGGGGCCTCTGATTGTTCTACCCATCTAAACTCACAAAACTTGAGTTGTGTTGGATTGGGTACGTAGAAGGGTGAGATGAAAGACAAAGCCATATAAAGCAGGGCACACAAAGACAACAGGGCATCTAGACAAACTAAGGTGCTGGAGGTAAGGGAAGAGCTGGGGAACCCCAGCAGGCATTCTATAAAATGGTGATTAGCAAATTGTATGAAAATGTATCAAAACAGTTTTTAAAAGATTTTTAAAAAGACACCCCAGGCTAAGGGTACAGCCCAACACCACACCATGGGGACCAGGGTAAGGAAGGACAATTGGTGACTCTCTAAGAGGATGGAAGGGGTGACAGACACCTTTTACTTTCAGCACTAGAAGGTTTCTCTGGGCTTACATACTTAGACATAGGTCAGTACATCCAAACTTGCACACAGGACATTGTTGTTGGAGTAGAGATTCTTGTTCAGCTAGAGGCCTAAAACGTCACCTGAGTTAACTGCTAGGGCCTCATCTAAGGCTGTCCAGGTCACCTTACAATTAGTGACAGGAAGGAACATTCACACGGCCCAGAACAGGGAGCCCCACCTAACCAGGGGTCTATTGTATATGAAATAGGATAAACTGTGCCAGACATCCATGTATATTTGGGAATGGGGGCAACTTAGGGTCTTACTGTGTTGCCTAAACTGGTCTGGGTCTCCTTGGCTTAGGAGTTCCTCTGATCTCAGCCTCTCCAGTGTCTGGTGGCAGGCATGTGCCTCAGCAGCTGGCTGCTCTACAAACACCAAGAGGACCAGGCAGACAAAGGCCCCTGAGCTTCCAGCTCTCCTTCCATCTCTTACTGCATTTCTGCCTTACTCAAACAGGGTTCCAAAAAACCTACAACACATACAAAGTAAAACTATATAGGAAAAGATGCAAAGTCTGATTCAAAGCCTGACATGATTATTCCAACAGTCACCTGCTCAGGGTTAGCTGGAAGCTTCTGTCCTATTGGGGACCTGTTTCCTTTTATTCTTGCATAAAAATTCCAATTAAAGCCCCAGTTAACAAAAACCTGGAGCAGGGATTGCTGCTGGGCTCCAGGCCTTTCCACTGATCCCACCATGCCCCCAACCTTTTCTGAGCAGAAGGCAGTATTGGGGAGGGGAAAAGGTGGAGTTTCAAAGCCAAAGTTTGGAATTGGTGGAATGATAGAAGTAAACAGTTAGTGTAGGACTTCTCAGAGCCTGTAATACACAGAAGGGCACATAGCTCCCTGGTCATTTGTCTGCATGCCTTGCAGAAGCTTTCAACTGTCTGAGTCCTTAGGGACTTCTGCACACAGTAACTGACTAGATATGCAGATTGCTTATATGAGAGCGATAGAGTGACTCTGAAGCCTTCAGTCCTCAGGCCAGTCTCCCCTCTCCCAGCCTAATGCAGAGGCAGACTGACCAGAACCACAGTGAACTCCAGGTTTAGAGAGAAGGAAGTGCAGAAGAGAAAAAGTGAACTGATAATCTGGGCATGGTAGCGTTTTAGGGTTTCTATTGCTGTGAAGAGATGCCATGACCATGGCAACTCTTATAAAGGAAAACATTTAATTGAGTTGGTGGCTTACAGTGAAGAGATTCTGTCCATTATCATTATTGTGGGACATGGCAGCGTGCAGGAATACATGGTGCTGGAGAGGTAGCTGAGAGTTCTACATCTTGCACAGGCAACAGGAAGTGATCTGAGACACTGGGTCTTATCTTGAGTATATAAGAACCCTCAAAGCCCACCTCCACAATGACACACTTCCTCCAACAAGAACACATCTAATAATGCCACTTCCTTTGGGGGCCAATTTATTTCTAGCCACCACAGTACCAAATCCTTAAGACCCCAGCTTGGGATGTAGAGGCAGGAGAATCAAGTGTTTAAGGACAGCTTAGGCTACAAGAAACCCTTGTCTCAAAAAAAAAAAAAAAATCAAATGAGTGAGCTGAGGTTTTGCTCCTGATGAAGTGTTAACAGTGTCTTTCTAACCAGAGGTACAGATCACTAACATCTGCCTGGACTTGAGAGTCTAGTGCTCCCAGAATGGCATTTCTTGGAAATCATCACAAGGCAGCAGGCAGACATTGATGTGTCACTGAGACCAAGAGAAGGAACCATCTCCTGTGGGGCTGGAGAGGCATTACCCTGACGCTGTCCAGTAAGAAATGAGGTATGACAGATGAAAGCACCAAAGAGTCTAACTGAGTATGGTGGCTGTGCCTGTGTTCCCAGCATTCAGAAGGCTGAGGCAGGAGGATCACCGTGAGTTTGATGATAGCTTGGGCTACAGTGTATGACCCTGTTTCAAAGAAAGAAGCAAAGAAATTGAGAAAGAGAATCTTCCCAGCATGGTAAAACCACTTGTCAGCAGCCAAGGACAGTTGCTAGAGCTGGGGAAGGAACTCAGCCACCTTCTTGGTGACCAGCGCACTCATTTGTACAGTGCTCTCAATGGCTGCACCAGTCCAGAGAAATGATTGAAAGTGGTACAGGATTGCGTTTTCATTTCTGAGAAAACAGATGGTAGATTTGGGGAGCTCACTATAGCAGTGACAAGAGGTGGGCAGCTCACACCATAGAATACTGTACAGAAACACCATTGCACCATTTTCTCTACCCTTCTTTCTTAATGACATGCATAGAACTCACAAAGATTACCAGCCAGGAGAGATGACTCTATTCAGGAAAAGAATCGGCTGCTACGGAACCTTCAGCAAGAAAATCAAGAGTCCTGGGGGCCTGCCTGTCAGGGAGCTTGGAGTCCCCATGTCTTAAATGCAGAACAGACATGCGTCCCCTTGCCTGAGACAACCGAATGCAGAATGCAGCTGACTCTCAGAACTTAAGTCCTCTGGACAGGCCTCCCCCAGCCTTTCAGCACGACTTGGGTGTCTGTGCAAAAGCTTCAGCTAAGTTTGGGGAGGCCCAAACCTTAGAGATACTAACTTCACTACAAAATTTTCCATATAACCTGTGAGCCAGCTACTGTTGGAACAGTCACAGGAACTTTCAGGGGTGTGTGGCCCAGGAAGAAGGACTATACAGATATGAGGGCCCAAGTGTAAGTATTCAAACAAGATAATATGTAAAGTTGTGAAAAGTATTTAATTATTTACCATGATAGCATAAAAATACTAGGAATCAAAAAAGTACAAAAAGCTGCTAGGGAGTAACTGCCGTGCATGTGGCTGCTCTGCCAGAGACTTGGTGTCACTGACCTCGGTCCTGGCGCTTGTCCTTGCTTCTCTTCTTCTTTTCTTCCAGCCTTGGGTTGAGGGCACACACACAGGCTGACACGCCTGCAATGGCATTAGGAAGGTCCGGACCCCTGCTCCACCTGTCGGCTTCATGGTCATACACCTGCACGGCCCTGGAGAAGGCCGTGCTCTCCCAGCTGTAGCCACCCAGGATGTAGATTCGACCCTGCCACACAGCCACGCCCGACTCACTGTTGGCTTGCAGCAGTGGTGCCACACGAGTCCACTGATTGCACTGTGGGCTGTAGGCCTCCACACCCAGCACATCAAAGCGCTCCATGGACTCCATGTGGTCATCACTGCCCCCAATGGAATAGATGCTGTCACCCAGGCTGCACATGCTGTGCCAGCCTCGTGCTGTAGTCATGGGCCGTTTCTCCTCCCACACATCCGTCCGGTGGTCATAGCACAGCAGGTTCTTGCGGTACGGGCCAATCTGGTAGTCATGGCCCCCCGAGATGTACACGAAGTCTTTGTAGATGGTGCCTGCATGGCCATAGGTGAACCTGCAGAGAGGCCAGAGGACAAAAGAGAGCTCAGGGCAGAGCCTGGCCTTATCTGTCTGAGTAGGGGACTTGGGCGCTCTGCCAATGGGTTACAACCTGCTTCTCAGGAGGTCATGAGCGTTGGAGGAGAAAACAGAGCAGGTAAGCCACAGACACCTTACAGATCTGGGCTGTCAATGGACAAGGGCATAGAACACAGGTAATAAGTGGTCCCTGCTGCAGGGAGGGTGCATGGGAGCACTCCATTTTCTGTGCAGTTTTCTATAAGCCTGACTCCTCTAAACGCTATCAAAGTGGAAAAAAGAGACTTGTTTAACTGGGCCTGTGATGTACACCTTTAATCTTAGCATTTAGCTGGGAGATCTCTGTGAGTTCCAGGCCAGCCAGGGCTACAAAATGAGATCTATAAATAAGGGCCTAAAACAATGTCAGAGAGGGTCGGCAAGAAGGCTCAGTGGGTAAAGGTACTTGCTGCCAAGCCTGACAATCTGAGTTTGATCCCTAGAACCTACATGGTGGACGAAGAGGTCAACTCCAGGAGCAAAGACATGAAACCTTGTGTCATGTGGTTTAGACAGCAATCAGGCCTGGAGAGGCTGGGGAATGGAGTTCACAGGAAGAGCCCAGGGCAGGCAGAAAAGATGGGTCAGACCTAGCTCCTGGCTAGCTCCTGGCTTAGGTGGGGTTTGTACAGGCCTGCTATGCCAACAAGGCGATGACTGAAGAAAGCTGGATGGGAAACTCATACATGTGGGTTGTGTACACACTGCCAATGATAACATCATGGACTGTGTTCACACCAACTGAGAGCACAGGAGTTCTCCTTAGAAATAATCCCACTTCCCACATCATTGTCCCAAGACAATGGTGGTGGTGGCACCTGCTCTTAATATGACTACCAGTTTTCTATTGCCTGATAAATGGCAATATGGTGCTCTCTCAGGGAGCCCATCAACAGGCAATCACTTACAACACCAGCCACCTACTCACTCTCTGGCTACCTCTCCACTCACCAGGTTGGTATGGATACCCAGGACCTAGTCATAATGATATAGAGTGTCACCTGCTCACCAACAGTGTCCAGAAATTGCCTCCTGGTTTCAGGAATCCATATTTATTTATCTGAGACAAAGTCTCACATTGTAGCCTATCATGGACTCAAATTCAATCCCCTGCCTCAGCTTCCTGAGTGCTGGGATTATAGGCATGAGCCCCTATGTCAGACTCAACTGTGACTTTATTTTATTTTTATTTATTTTGTTTGTTTGTTTTTGTTTTTTGAGACAGGGTTTCTCTGTGCAGCTTTGGAGCCTATCCTGGCACTCGCTCTGGAGACAAGGCTGGCCTCGAACTCACAGAGATCCGCCTGCCTCTGCCTCCCGAGTGCTGGGATTAAAGGCGTGCGCCACCAACGCCTGGCTCAACTGTGACTTTAAAACACAGATTCACTCCAACCCCACATACCCTGCTAACTCTGGGGGACCACATTCCCAAGATACCCCTCCCACAGACAGGATGGGTCAGAGTTTGGGTTTAGGTATAGCACAGGAGTGGTAGACAGATGTGTGCAGGTTTGGCAGATCCACAATACAATCCACATTCAGTGCCCCATACCCAGCTTTAGGCCTGGGGAGGTGGGGCACACCACTATCTCTGGGGCACTCCCTGCTTGCTGGAGGCCACATGAGAATGTCACAGAGATGGTGTCTAATTTTCCCCAGAATGTGCTGCAGTACCAATTCTGCAGGTGTGTAACTAAAACACTGGTGGGGTGAGGCCAGTGCCCCTCTGACCTCCTGCCTACATCCAGCCCGGCCTTCTAGTAAGGGACTTATCATCCCTACCCAACACTCACTCTCTGAAGCCCAGGGCCCCTGTCAACTTGGAGGATGATTGTCTTGAGCTGCAACCGCCCTCAGCTCCTCATGGCCTACCCCATTATGGAAAAACCAAGATATTATGAAAACAGAAAGCAAGACTAAACTTTATCTGGTGACAATATCACCTTCCAGCAGTCGGCCTCAAGCCCTCATCACCTTGGCAAGCCAGCCACATAAGTCCAGGAGTTGGTCTTGGGGCTGTAGGTCTCTACAGAAGACAGGGCTCCATTCTCGTTCCGGCCACCAACAGCCACCAGCATGTCTTCAATGGAGGCCAGGTAGAAATCCACACGGCGCTGGTTCATGGATGCCACCTGTGAGGGTGAGACACCTGAAGCTTCCCTTCCCAAGCCCTAGCACCATGTTCTTCAACTGTGTCCACAGAGTCAATGGCCCAGCAGGGCCAGACAGTGGCCAGATGAGCTGGGAAGAAGGGCCTGGACTTACGAAAAATGGGGCACTACTGGTGGGAATTTAGAACTCTGATGCTTCCATCAGACACTCAAATCCTCAAGAGGTGATGGGGCACATCTCCTGAAACTGGTTTGGACACATGGTCAACCTTGTGGACTGGCATTATACAAGAAATTAATGACTTTCTAAAATTGAAAAAAAAATCAGTCTCTGTGCTCTTCTGACCTCCTCAGATACCAGGCATGCATATAGTGCTCACACATACATGCAAGCATAACACTCATACACATAATATCAAATAAATAAATCTATATCAAATTTAAAATTTTAAACAAAACCAGTTTTGCCTTCTTCTCCATCAGGGATTCCAGCTTGCTGAGCAATGCCCTACCACAGCACAATCCGGCTGAATTTCTTTTTTTTTAAATCAATGCTAATCCACTGGTCACAATCCATGTTAACAGAGCAGAAAGTGACTGTGGTGTTTTGAAAGAAAATGGCCCCCAAAGGGAGTGGCACTACTGGGAGGTGTGGCTTTGTTGGAGTAGGTATGGCCTAGTTGGAAGTGTGTCAATGGAAAGGAGGGCTTTGAAGCTTTTTGCTTCAACTTTGCTCATTGTTGCTGGGCGTTGGTGGTGCACACCTTTAATCCCAGCACTCGGGAGGCAGAGGCAGGAGGATTTCTGTGAGTTTGAGACCAGCCTTGTCTCCAGAGTGAGTTTCAGGACAGGCTCCAAAGCAATACAGAGAAACCCTGTCTCAAAAAACCAAAAACCAAACCAAACCAAACCAAACCACTTTAGTCAGTGTCATGGTCTCTTTCCTGCAGGATGTAGGACTCTCAGCTCCTTCTCCAGCACCATGTCTGCCTGCAAACCGCCATATCCCACCATGATGATAGTGGACTAAACCACTAAACTGTAAGCCACCCCCATTAAACCTTTTTTTTTTTTTTTTTTTTTTTTTTAAGGGTTTGTAAGAGTTGCCATGGTCATGGTGTCTCTTCACAGAAATAGAAAATCTAACTAAGAAGCTGATACCAGGGACTGGGGTATTGCTGTGATAGGCCTAACTATGTTTTTGTTTGGAGTAATAGGACTTTGGGAGTGTGGATTAGAAAAGCATGTTTTAACTGCTGCTTAATGGGCCACACTACTAGGAGGGTGGAAGAGAGTGGTGCTGTGTGTGATTTGAAGAACTGTTGGGGGCTCATTCAAGATGTTTCAGAGGAGAAGAATTTTAGTATGTTGTCTATAGATCGTTCTTGTGATATTCTGGTGAAGAAAGTGGCTGCTTTTGTCCTTATCTGACAAGCCTGCCTGAGGCAAAAGTAAGGGTTTTGGATTAATTCAGTTGACAGAGGAAATCTCAAAACAACCTAGTATATCTGTTGTATGGTTATTAGTGGTAACTCTAATGAAGATTTATAATGAAAAGGAGCAAGCCGAGCAGGATAAATTACAAAAACGTAAATTTTGAGGAGAAAAAGAACACTAGGAAGTGGTATGGAGCGAAATCCTGTGTTCAAGGAGATAAAAACATTTGAGGCCAGCCTGTACTACAGAGTAAGTTTCAGGACAGCCAAGTTTAGGCAATGAAAAGCAGAAAGCTGGTGATGATGTAATTGAACAAGGGGGCATGTTCCAGCCCCAGCGAGCAGCGAGCAGCGAGCAGCGAGCAGCAGAACTTGGAGCTTCAGCCACATGGTTCTGACTATAGAGTTAAGGATAGCAGGAAGGGGTTATGATGATGAGGCCAGACATATGTCAGGAGTGTCCCTGAATGGAGGCCTAGAGAGGCTATTGTGTGAAGCCGTTAAGTTGAAGCCTGGATTGCTTTGGAGATGTTGGAGATGCTAGAGCCATGGGATACTTGCTGAGGAGAGCTGCTAACAAGGAGTGAGAGAGAGAAGTATGCTGCAGTCAACAAAGCTGAATGGAGTTGGAGATCTGAAGAGCAAGCACTTTGACATCAGACATGGAGATGAAGATTTTGGAGTTTGCCTAGCTGGTTTTAGGTCTTGCTTTGGTCTAATATTTCTTTACCATGCTCCCTTCCCTACATTTTGGAATGGTAATGTATATCCCGTGCCATTATGAAGTATGTGTAGTGGTTTTTATTTTAATTTTATAGGGGATTATAGTTAAGAGAGTGCCCTGAGACTCAGAAGAGACTTTGGGACTTTGAAACAAGTTTGGGACTGTTAGAGACTATGGGGACTTTTGAAGTTGGACTGAATGCATTTTTTTAAAGATTTTATTTATTTATTATGTATACAGTCTTCTGCCTACATGCCAGCAGAGGGCACCAGATCTCATTCAATGTGGTTGCTGGGAATTGAACTCAGGACCTCTGGAAGAACAGTCAGTGCTCTTAACCGCTGAGCCATCTCTCCAGCTCCGACTGAATGCATTTTTGCATTACAATATGGCTACAAGTCTTTGGGGGCCAGTGAGTGGAATGTAGTGCTCTAAGGGAAAATGACCCTCAAAGGGAATGGCACTATTAGGAGGTGGGGCTTATGGGAGTAGGTGTGATCTTGCTGGAGGAAGTGTGCCACTGTGGAGGAAGTGTGTCACTGTGGAGGAAGTGTGCCACTGTGGAGGAAGTGTGCCACTGTGGAGGCAGGCTTTGAGGACTCATATATGCTCAAGATACTGCCCTGCTGCATGCAAGACTCAGCTACTACTCCAGCGCCACTTCTGCCTGCACGCCGCCACGCTCCCCATCATGATAATGGACTGAACCTCTCAACTGTAAGCCACCTCAATTAAATGTTTCCTGTATAAGAGTTTCCATAGTCGTCGTGTCTCTTCACAGCAATAGAAACCCTAAGACAGTGACACCCCACAGGCAGTTGGGAATTAGACGCTCTAGCCTTTATAACCAGGAGACCACAGGCCCAACCTCTGTCACCAGCTTTTCAACTTAATGTTGGGCTTCCCAGAGGCCTCACTTAGCTTTTAGGTTTGAAGGGCTTTTTTGCTTTTGCTTTTGTTTTTGAGACAGGATTTCTGTGTAGCCCTTGCTATCCTGAAACTTGCTCTGTAGACCAGGCTGGCCTCCAACTCAGAGATCTACCTGCCTTTGCTTCCTGAGTGTTGGGATTAAAGATGTGCGCTGCCCTCCCATGCTCTTGGATAGGTAGGATCAACATAGTAAAAATGGCAATCTTACCAAAAGTAATCTACAGATTTAATGCAATCTCCATCAAAATCCCAGCACAATTCTTCACAGACCTTGAAAGAACAATACTCAACTTCATATGGAAAATCAAAAAACCCAGGATAGCAAAAACAATCCTTCACAATAAAGGATCGATCATCTGGGAGCATCACCATCCCTGACTTCAAGCTCTACTATAGAGATATAGTAATAAAAACAGCTTGATATTGGCATAAAAACAGACAGGTAGACCAATGGAATCAAATCAAAGACCCTGATATCAACCCACACACCTATGAACACGCAATTTTTGACCAAGAAGCTGAAAATATAAAATGGAAAAAAGCAAGCATATTCAACAAATGGTGCTGGTATAACTGGCTGTCATCATGTAGAAGATTGCAGATAGATCCGTATCTATCAACTTGCACAAAATTCAAGGTGAAATGGATCAAAGACCTCAATATAAATCCATCCACACTGAACCTCACAGAAGAGAAAGTGGGAAATACATTTGAACACATAGGCACAGGAGACCACTTCCCAATTAGAACACCAGTAGCACAGACTCTGAGAGCAACAATTAATAAATGGGACCTCCTGAAACTGAGATGCTTCTGTAAGCAAAGAACATGCTCCACAAGAAAAAAACCGGCTCCCTACAGAATGGAAAAAGATCTTCACCAACCCCACATCTGACAGAGGGCTGATCTCCAAAATATACAAAAAACTCATGAAACTAGACATCAAACTACCAAATAATCCAATTAAAAAATAGGGTACAGATCTAAACAGAGAATTCTCAACAGAACAATCTCAAATGGTGGAAAGACACTTAAGGAAATGCTCAACACCCTTAGTTATCAGGGAAATGCAAATCAAAACTACTCTGAGATTCCATCTTACTCAGATCAGAATGGCAAAGATCAAAACACCAATGACAGCTTATGCTGGAAAGGATGTGGAGAAAGGGGAACACTCCTCCATTGCTGGTGGGAGTGCAACTTGTACAGCTGCTGCGGAAATCAGTAGGGCGATTTCTCAGAAAATTAGAGATCAATCAACCTACCTCAAGACCCTGCAATATCACTGTTGGGCATATACCCAAAGAAGACAGATTCACAACACAAGGATATTTTCTCAACTATGTTCACAGCAGCATTATTCGTAATAGCCAGATCTTGGAAACAACTTAGATGCCCCTCAGCTGAAGAATGGATAAAGAAAATGTGGTATATTTACACAATGGAGTACTACTCATTGATAAGAAATAATGACATCCTAAAATTTGAAAGCAAATGGGCAGAACTAGAAAAAAAAAAATCCTGAGTGAGGTAACCCAAAACCAGAAAGACAAATATAGTATGTACCCACTCAAAAGTGGATACCAGATGTAAGGCAAAGATTGTACCCAGCCTACAATCCACAACCCCAGAGAAACTAGAACCTTCCAGAAACAGATCAAGCAGATGCAGAAATCCACAACTAACCATTGGACCAAGTTCTTAGAGTGCAATAGAATCGAGGAAGGAGCGATAATATGAACAAAGGAGTCAAGACCATGATGGGGAAACCCACAGAAATCAGCTGACCTGAGCTAGTCAGACATCACTGACTCGGGTCTGACAAATGGGGAGCCTGCACAAGACCGAACTAGACTCCCTTAATATAGATGACAATGGTGCCACTAGGACAATATATGAGGCCACTGGCAGTGGGTCAAAGATCTAACACTAATGCACCAACTGACTTAGTGGAACCCATTCTATATGGAGAGATACCTTGCTTAGTCTAGACACAGGGATGTGAGGGTTGGAGAGCTGCCTTGGTTCTGCCTCAATGAGATGATGGGACAGACTTAGCAGACTTCCTAGAGGAGGCCTTACCCTCTTTGAGGAGCAGATGGGAAGTGGTGGGGGGAGTCAGAGGAGAGGAGGGGGGGGAATTGAGATTGGAATGTAAAAAGTAAGTTAACTTAAAATTTTTTTAAGTGTGTTATTGTGTATGTGGGGGGGCATGCATGGCATGACGTGTGTATAGGTGAGGGGGCAACTCTGTGTAGTTGATTCTCTCCTTAGCCATCTTGCTGGCCCAGGTTAGAGGTTTTTTGTTTGTTTGTTTGTTTTGTTTTGTTTTCATTTTATTTTACTTTGGTTTTTCAAGATGTAGCCTTGGCTGTCCTAGAACTCAAACTATAGACCTGGCTGGCCTCGAACTCACAGAGACCTGCCTGCCTCTGCCTCCCAAGTGCTGGGATTAAAGGATTGTGTACTACCACCTGGCCATACTAAGAGTTTTCTTTTTTTAAAGATTTTATTTATTTATTATTTTTCAGTTATTTGCATGTATGCTTGCACAACAGAAGAGTGCACCAGATTTCATTACAGATGGTTGTGAGCCACCATGTGGTTGTGAAGGGACCAGCTCCCCATTTCGGCAGCCATGACCGTAACATGTGCTTGCCATAACCTTGCCTTGGTCACTTAGAGGTCAGACGCCTGCCTCGTGACAAGAACCAATCAGAAGCTAGCTGGTGGCGCTATGCTTTACGTCCCTGGGTTTACTTTACGGACAAGCGCACAGCAATGACGCACAGAGCATAGCACCCACCCTGGGAGAGCCTATGGGCCATAACAACCAGTTGGCTAATCAACACAGGGCAAGCCCTCCAAACCTGGAGGACACACCAATCCTGAGCCTGTGCGTACCCCTAGACACTCCCCTTATGCTGCCCTACAAGATCTCTCCGGAGCCCCTAGGAGCTGTCTTTTGCAAGCCATCCACCATGGCGGATGGGTGAAAGACCTGAGCTAATAGGGGGTTAGCTCGTTAAAAAACAATAAAGCCTCATGCAGTTTGCAGCAAGCTCTCGAATCTGCCTGGTGATTGGGGTGACCGAGGTCGTGGCCTGGGACCCCGGATACCTGAGTTTTCCAGGGGGTCTAACAGTTGCTGGGAATTGGACTCAGGTCCTCTGGAAGAGCAGTCAGTGCTCTTAACCTCTGAGCCATCTCTCCAGTCCCCACTATGAGCCTTTTTTTTTTTTTTTCTCGAGACAGGGTTTCTCTGTGGCTTTTGGAGACTGTCCTGGATCTAGCTCTTGTAGAACAGGCTGGTCTCGAACTCACAGAGATCCACCTACCTCTGCCTCCCAAATGCTGGGATTAAAGGCGTGCCCCACCAACGCCCGGCCCATGCTAAGAGTTTTAACCATAGAATTGAAAGGCCATCTGGAATCCACTTTGGTTTTATTTCTGCAACAAGGTCTGACCTGGAATCACCATGTAGTACAAGTTGCCTTCAGACTAGTGGCAATTCTCCTGCTTCAGCCTCCTAAATCCTGGGATTACAGGTGTGAACCGCCATGCTTGGCTGGTGTTAAATTCAGCAAACCCTGAGGCATGAGTCACACAGAGGTGTGAGCATAAAGATGGATTTCAGTGGGTGGCAGGCAGTCCAGAGAGGTGACTGTAGAAGGGGACACTTCACTTCAGCCACACATAGCCAATTAACTCAGGCTGCCTTCCTCATAGGCCTACAAGCCACAAGCATATCCACAGTGGAATGTGAAGTTCTTCAGCCTTCACTAGCTCAGTGTGGAGGTTCGAATAAGAATGGCCCCCATAGGCTCACATACTTGCATGCAAAATCCCCAGTTGGTGGACTGTTTGGGAAAGATTAGGAGGTGTGGCCTTGTTGGAGGAGGTATGTCTTTGGAATGAGCTTTGGAGTTTCAAAATCCCTTGCCAGGCCCAGTCTCTCAAGCTGCTGCCTGTGGACCAAAATGTAAAGCTCTCAGCTACTGCTCTAGCACCATGCCTGTCTGCTTTTGGCTATAATGATAATGGACTAACTCTCTGAAACTGTCATCAAGCCCCCAATCACATGCTTTCTTTAAAATTTATTTATGCTGGGCAGTGGTGGCCCACACCTTTAATCCCAGCACTGGGGAGGCAGAGGCAGGTGGATCTGTTGTGAGTTTGAGACCAGCCTGGTCTACAAGAGCTAGTTCCAGGACAGCGTCCAAAGCCACAGAGAAACCCTGCCTCGAAAAACCAAAAATAAATAAATAAATATAAAACTTATTCATTTTATATCATATGTATGGGTGCTTTGCCTGCATATATGTATGTGTATGTCTTTTGCTCATGCAGACCAGAAGACCTCAGATCCCCTGGAACTAGAGTCGTGGATGTTCATGAGCCATATGCGAGTGCTGGGAACTGAACTCTGGTTCTCTGCAAGAGCAACAAGTGCTCTTAATACACCGAGCCCTTTCTCCAGCCCTAAATGCTTTCTTTTGTAAGAGTTGCCTTGGTCTTGGTGTCTCTTCCTGGCAACAGGACAGTAACTAATACACTCTGCTAGGGTGCGCTAACAGGACTGATGTGCGGGCTCCATACCGGCCCTAGGTTCCATGGAGCGTTTTGGCTTCCTCAGCATTACTTCCCAAACCTTTCCACAAGAGAAGCCCAGCAGAGGCTCTAAGGCATGGGGCTCCTTGCTTGGCTGAGCCCTGTCATGGAGCCTGGAGCAGCTACTGACACTTAATTATCTATTAGTTACAATTAGATTGAAAATGTGCGCTGGCCACATTTCATGCTCTCAATGGCCACATAGGGCCAGTGGCCACTGTGTTGGAAACAGGACAAACACAGAATCTTCCATTGGGTTAGAAAGTTCTATTGAAGAATGCTGCTTTGGGCAACAGTCAGCCCTTCAGATGGTGGTTGCTTGTCCTTCCCTGACCCCTACCCTGGTGTAGGTATAGGGAGGGCAGCAATGATATGGCCCATCATTTTATCATCACAACTCTCTCAGAAGCAGGGCAGTCATCAAGGTCCCCAAACAGGAAGTGAGGTTAGGGAGCTGCAAAGAGGGAGGCCTCAAGAGTAATGAATTAATTTGCTTTAATCTCACCTTAATCCACTGTTTACGGCGGGGGTCATACCTATAAAGAAGGTTGGAGGCTGCATCCCCTCCGTTGTCTCTTGAGAAGCTGCCACCAGCAATGAAGATGAAGCCCCCCAGCACAGCAACGCAGTGGTGGCTCCGGCGGGCTGGCAGGGATGTCTCTTTCACCCACTGTTCACTCTTGGTGTCTAGGTAGCAGGTGTCATCGCTCAGCTCCAGACACCGCTCGGAGACCTCACCGCCCACGAAGAGCAAGCACTCCTCAGAGCGCAGCACTGTTCGCTTCGTCTGCAGGACAGGCTGTGCCACCAGGCTGTTATGGTAGTGTAAGGCCTCTTCCAAGAAGCCCTCGCAGTTGGCCTCACTGGGCAACAGTGAGCACATGGCCAGCTTCACACGCTGGAGCAGGATGTCCTCAGGGAAGAGGGGAAAGCGGATGTTTTCGAGCACACGGCAGATATGCACCTCACGCTCTGGCTGCTGAGTGAGCCACTGCAGAGCCGCCTGCAGCAGGTCATACTCCCACTTGTGCTGTATCTGGCCACTGCTCAGGTAGACGCACAGCTTCTGCACAGAGACGGTCTGCAGGAAGTCAGGTGTGAAGGACAGTGTGCTGAAGTGGTTCAGAACAAATCTGTCGATGAAGGCATCCAGCCGCTTGAGGCTGTAGATGGAGGCCAGCTCCTGCAGGTATAGGTAGTTGTCCTCACTCACCTCCTGCTCCAGGTACTCGCAGCAGAAGTCCACCACTGTCCAGATCTGCAGCAGGTGCGCTGTTTCCAGGATGTAGTCAATGTTGTTGCCGTCTAGCTCCAGCTCACTGCTGTAGAGGAAGTCCACCACAGCCTTGAGCCCCACATAGGAGGTACCAACCAGCTCTACCTCCTTCTGGAAAGCCTCACGCATGCCCAGCGTGAACATGGAGTTGAAGTAGTCGCTACACACAGCTAGAAGGTTGCGGTGGGCAGGCACTTGCTGCTCTTCGACCACAAGGACCACGTCACAGAAGAGGCCATGTAGCCGCTGCTCATTCAGCCGCTGCAGCACTGTGGTGGAATGGTCAGCCCAGTGGTACACCTGCACGAGAAGGCACATCAGGAGGGAAAGCACAGGCCTGCTGTCTGTACATGGCCTGCAGGGACCACAATCAGCCGAGAGATAACAGCAATCGTTATAAGATGGCATAAGAGCCACTGAAGTAAATCCAGAACATCACAGGTGCTTCTGAGAGTATGTGTCTCCTTCCTTCTTGCCCTCCCTCCTGAAATGTTTTAAAAATTTGGCTGGGTATGGTGGCATATGTCTATAAACTTAGCACTCAGAGGCAGAGGTAGGTGGGACTCTGTGAGGTCAAGGCCTGTCTTGGTCTACCTAGGAAGTTCCAGGCCAGCCAGGACTCCATAGAGAGACAGTGTCTCAAATAAAATGAAACAGAGTAAAACATTTATTAACACGTGTACATGCATGCACCAGTGTGAATGTGGGAGAGAGGACAGCTTTTCTTCCATCTTGTACATTCTAGGCAGGGAACTCAGGTTGTCTGTCAGGCTTGAGCAGCAAGTGACTTTATATGTTGAGTCATCTAGCCAGCCCTGCTATATATAATTCCTAGAAATTGTCTGCTTGGCAGATCTCTGTGAGTTCGAGGCCAGCCTGCTCCACAAAGTGAGTTCAGGACAGCCAGGGCTACATAGAAAAACCCTGTCTTGAAAAAGCAGAAACAAAATCAGCAAAAGAAACTGGAGTCTAAGAACTTACTTTCTTCTGTCTTCTCTTCTTTCTCTCCTTTCTTCCTTCTTCTAGGTCATGATATTTTGTAAATGTTTTTCCATCAGAAAAGTGGTGCTGCCCCCCCCCCCACACACACTTAAAATCAGATGGACCAAAGTTAGAACTCCAGCTCTGCATCCTGCTGGCTGTGTGGTCTCAGGTTAGCCATGGACTCACTTTCTCATCCGACAAAATGAGCACGTTTATCATTTAGATGTAGAGAATCAATGAGATAGCCCAGCAGGCACTTGAGTAGGCTACTGTACTTGAGGCTCTCAGGGGACCTAAACCCTCTCCACCCCATGTCCTCGGCTCAGTTTCAGGAGCCTACAGTCGTCACTACCTATCTGATGCACGTTTTCACTCTCAGATGCTAGGCTGAGAACCCAGGGACACAACTGTAGGAATGCTGTCTTTCTCAGGCCAGCCATTTTTGTTGGTGTTCCTTGAATGGACCAGCTATTTGTTTTTAGCCCATTTTCCTTATGTTTTCTTCTTGTCCTCCTCCTCCTCTCCCTTCCTCCTCCTCTTGTGGACAGCCTCCTCACCCAGCCCTTCCCTCCTCTTGCTACATAGCTGAGGGTAATCTTTAATTCTTATCCTTCTGCCTCTACTTCCTCAGGGCTAGCATTACAGGTGTGTTCCACTATACCCTGTATATACAATGTTGGGGGCCGAACCCAGGGTTTCACACATTCCAGGCCAGTCAAGCATTCTCCCAACTGCGTTCCATCACCAACCCTTGTATTTATTTCTTTTTTTTTCTTACTTTTAAAAAATATTATTGCTATTATATTTGTTTACTTAGTTTTATTTTGGGGGCGGGTAGTCCATGTGTGCTACTGTTTACATGTACAGGTCAGAGGATAACTTGCATGAAGTGGTTCTCTCCTTTTATCACATGAATCTCAGAATTTGAACTCAGGTTGTCAGGTTTTGTTGCAAATGCCTTTACCTGCTGAGCCATCTCACCAGCCCTATTTTGTTTTTGTTGTTTGTTTTTTTTCCTCAGACAGGGTCTCTCCATAGCCCTGGCTGTCCTTGAACTCACTTTGTAGACTGGCCTCAAACTCAGAGATTCACCTGTCTCTCCTGAGATTAAAGGTGTGTGTCACCCCTCTCCTACACACACACACACACACACACACACACAGGCTGTGTTTTGAGAGAGGATTTTGTACAGGCAGGGCTAGCCCTAAACTCAAGGTTGTCTTCTTGCCTCAACCTTTAAGTGCTGAGATTACAGATGTGCACCATGCCCAGCTGGGCAATGGCCATTCTCCCTGGACTCTTTCCTGACTTACTGAGGGTGATTCTAATGAAACCAGCCTGATGTGAGATGGTGGTCAGAACCTAGGGAGTCCATACTTGTTCATTCTTGGGGTCCCAGGGAGTTGAACACAAATAGGGAAGAGATCCCTGGGTCTTAATACCAGGAAAGGAGTCCTACTTTAAGGTCAGAGGCTGGGCTCTCCATGAGACTCACTGTAGTTGGTGAGCCAATGAAGGTAGAAGTCCCATGGCTCTTCTGTCCCACTCCTCATGGTGATATGTAGAGTAGAGGGAACTATATGCTGCAGCTCCTCTGCAAACCCACATGTGGACACAGTTAAGGACACATCAGCCAGAAGCCAGAGGCAGCCGGGCATCGGTGGAGCATGCCTTCAATCCCAGCACTCGGGAAGCAGAGGCAGGCAGATCTCTGTGAGTTCGAGGCCAGCCTGGTCTCCAAAGCGAGTGCCAGAATAGGCTCCAAAGCTATACAGAGAAATTCTGTCTCGAAAAACCACAAAAAAAAAAAAAAAAAGAAGAAGAAGCCAGAGGCAGTCAGAATCAATACAATGGGTGGGGAGGGATTGCTCACGTACCTTTGAAGATTCGCTGATTTTGTATGGCCGAGACACTCGAATCTGCTTGCTTGCTTCCATTGTAATTTCAAACCTACAATGAGAAAAGCATTCCTGAGCACGCAGCATTAACTCCAGGTTGGTTATTAACTGCAGGCTCTGTTGGCAGACACCATTGTCAGCAAATGAAGAAACCATCCCATGAAGGGGAGTAAGGGAGAACAAGCTGCTGTGTGGAAAATCAGGCTGTTGTAAACTGCTTAGTGTAATAACTGAGTTTGCAGAGGGAATTGAAGGAATGGAAACAGACAGCCCTCAACAACAAGAGTAGACTACATTGATCTGAAGGGTGTCTCAAGACCTGGTGCACAGGATGGCACATAGTGCAAGTCTAAGTATATGTGGAGGTTGTTTTTTAAAATAAGTTGTTTTATTTGGGAAGTGTTGGGCAGAAGATAGGCCAGTTGCTTTTTTTCAGGACCTTGGGTATCTGTGTGGGTACCAGAGTTCCTCAAACTCTGAGCCCATTTTATGGTTTTGGCTGGGAACAAGGGGGCAACTTCCTTTATTTACATTTAATTCCTGTCCCTTTAGCATCTAAAGTCTGGCACCTCACAGCATTTAGTCTGTGCCCCATGCTCATGCTTTTTCTCCTTAACTTTCATTTAATTTCTTCATTTTGTGAAAGTCTGGAAGAGTTAAATCCTTTTTTTCCATCTTATGGGACCCAGGGATTGAACTCAGGTTGTCAGGCTTGGTGGCAAACACCTTTATCCACTTGGACATCTCAATGGGCTCAACACCCATCTTTTGATGTTTAATCTAAACTCTATGTTTTGGCTATGGCAGAATTTTCATGTTTCATGACAGTCGTCGCTTTGGAGTCTGGACTATATCATGGATCCAAGCTAAGGAACTTCTACTTGCTACCTTACTTAACTCCTGCCACACAACAGCCCTGCTAATGTCCCATTTTATAGAAGAAGACATTTAAAACTGTCATAATGCTAGTTAATGTCTGACCACCAAACCTGGGCCCTCCACCTCAGTATAGGAAACAAGGCTCAGACTTGACCAGGGTCATACTTTCAAATTCTCAAGAGGAAGTGGAGGGTGAGAGGCAGTTGTGACTAATGGGCCCAAACTGCTTTGGGAGCCGTCCTGAGGGTTTCTGTGAGTCTTCATTAATCTTCTTCCATATTACCCCATGAGACCATCCCTATGCTGTTCTTGATTTAAAAATGAGGTAATCACAGAGGTAAGAAATAAACCACACAACATCCCACAGTTAGGAGGATGTGGCAGGGCTGGCATGAAGACCCAAGAGGCCTCCTTGTCTCTCTGCACTCCAAAGCTCTATTGTCCAGTTACAGTATGGGGAAGAATCCACAAACATGAGCAGTCCTGCTGTGCTGACCTTTCTGATCAAATCTACAGATGTGACGCATGATGTTTCTACCTGCATTAAAATGCCAAGCAACTTGTGAACTCCTGGGAACCAGGCTTTGGGGGACTTGGAAGACCAGGAGGGCACTGGCAGGGGACTCACAGGAAAGGTAAACCTGTTGGGTTAAACTTAATTTGACTCAGAAATTCAGCCCAGCTTGCTTCCCCAACTGTGGTCAGGAACATTCTGCATGCTTAGAGTCTACTGCAACTCCCCGCCCCTATATGTTGGGGGGTGGAGGGTAATGAGGGAGAGGCAGGGGGACATGCTGACAAAGGAACCACTGCAAACAGCCCAGAGTCAACACCTGAAACTTCCCTACCCTCAACCCCCTGAAATAAGCTTGCCCCAAGGCGCCCACAGAGAACCCAACCTCCATCCATCCTTTGGGAAGGTTGGAATGGTGCAGTCATTCGATGGTCTAGTTAACAGCCCGTAAAAACAGCCAGTCTCACTACTCTACACTCATTTTCCTTACAAAACCAACTTGGGCATAACACATATACTGGGATTGGGGTTCCAAGAAGAAATTTTCCCCAGTTCTGCTGAGTCCACAAGAATCATTTTGTTACCTATTGAACAAAGAGTCTTTGCTAAAACAGAACAATGTGATAAGAAGTCAGCAGCACAGTTACAAGATAAGCAGGGAGAGAGGGGGCTCCAGTGTTCCCATGGAGGCAGAAATTCTGTTCGACTCTCCCTGGGAAAGAAGAGACAAGTAGATCTTTCAGAGAAAACTAGTAACTTTGTGACTAAGCTGTACCCATACAGGAACTCTCTGACTGTCCCCGGGTTGCTGGAGGCCCAGAGAGAAGGGAAGCAGTTCAGCCACCAAACGGCATCTAGTTAACTGCATACCCCTGACTCCCTGGGTTCACCTTGGCCGGCTGAGACTGGGCACCATTGTTCCCACAGTGAGAAAACCACACCGTGGCTGGGCAGGTGGTTGAGGGGCCCGCCCAAGGTCACAGAGAGGAAAACATAGATACCCTCTCTGCCCATCTACTTAGGGCGGCCAGCCACGTCTCTGGTTCCTCACAGTCTGGGAGCATTCTTTTCTAGGCCAAGGGATCCAGAGAGATCGTGCCAGTGCCGGGCTCGCCTTATTCTCTGGGACCGTATCTGTGGCCCCTAGATGAGTCCTGGGCTACGTGCAAGCAGGTGAGGTGACGGTGCAGAGACCCCGCCCGGGGTCCAGCACGCAGCCCAGGCTGCACTCACCGTCCCGGGTCCCGCCCGGCAGGCGCTGAGGCGCTGAGGGAGGCGTGGGCCGCACCTGTGCACCCCCGGGCCCGAATCGCGCCCGCTTGCCAGCCGCTACCAGAGCAGCGTGAGCTGTGGGGCTACGGGGCCCTCCCGAAGCACAGCCATCCCTCTGCAAGGAAGTGCGAGCCCGTTCAGTCAATGGCGGCTGAGGGGCGGGGCAGGAAGGCGGGACCAGAGGCGGGGTCTGCAGGGTGGAGGGCGGAGCGACGTCTGAGGGGCGGGTCTGTTGGAAGCTAACAGGCGGGGGGTGGAGCGTAGTTTAGGGGCGTGGCCTGAGGAGGCTGGTAGGCAGGAGGGCGGAGCCCAGTTTTAGGGGGCGGGGTCTGTGGGCGGGAAGGTGCTGAGCTAGCAAGGATCTGCAAGAGGCACCCAGGGTTTCTTAGTATTGATCTCGCTCAGCGGTTCCCCAGCTGTCCCTTAGGCTGGCCAGGCATGCTCCGCAGAAACTTTCTGGCCACCACGTCCCGGGCAGCAGGACACAAGGTGGCTTTGTGGGACAGACCTCAGGGCGGGTCAGGGAGCTCCGGGATAGCTGTACCCTGCCCACTCTGAAAAGAGGCCTTTGTTGACCTCTCTTCTAGTAGCTACACCCCCTGCACCCTGTGTTCTGCTTTTTGCTTCTCCTTACTGTTTATCCTAATCTATTACTATTACCTTTTCCTTATTCTTTTACTTTTTTCTCTTTGTTTTCTTCTCTCTCTCTCTCTTTGTGTGTGTGTGTGTGTGTGTGTGTGTTTCTTTTTTGAGGCCCAGGGCTTCAACCACCATGGCCCTCAACCTTGCCCTAGTTGGCAAAGAATATTTTACATAATTCTTTCCTTCCTTTTCTTCCCTCCCTTCCTCCTTTTTCTTTCTGTTTCTTTTTCACTTGAAGCCCGCCAGCAAATGTTATAATCCTTTCTGGACTCCGATGGCAGGTACATGGCCTCTCAGTAAATATTCGTTAAGCTGAGATAATCATTAATTCATTTATCAATTATGAAACTTCACTCAAGTTATAGTCTGGAAGAATCTTGAAGAGGTTTCAATACGTGAAAGAAGCTAGACACAAAAGGACACTCCCGCTGCATTTAGTGGCACACAGCCGTCATTTTCGGAGGCTAAAGCAGGAAGATTAGGAGTTCAAGGACTACATAGTGAGGGTTTGTCTCAAAAAAGCAAATCACTTGAAAACAAAATACAGAAGTATTCAAACAGGAAAAGGGGAAAGCCAGGAAGTACAGTAGAGGATTCCAAGGGTGGGGTAGTCAGGACAGCTAACAAAGGAAAATTAGGGGCTTTTTGGTGGAATGATAACAAGTTTTGAAATGAGAGTATTGTTAGTTGCGTACCCGTGTGAGTATAAATTTAAGTCCACCTATTATCTATCAAGATTCAGCTAGAGCAGGAGGAGAGAAGGGAGGAGGAACTGGGATTGGAATGTAAAAAATAAATTAATAAAAAAAAAGATTTATCTAGAGTTTTTTTTTTTTAAGGTAGATCAAGCTGACTTTGAACTCCATTCTACTGCCTCTTTAGCTTGTTGCCATAGACAACCCAACCAAGACATTTTAATAACCTGTAACTTCACATCGGTACCTGCGGTGCTGGATTTGAAGCCAAAGTAGAAGATGCAAAGCAAGACTATAGTTAGGCCTTGGACAGACCTGGAAATTCATAGATGATCTGGGTCTGTAAAACTAGCCTGGCCTCATCCTATCTCCCTAGGAACATGGAGTGAACTGATTTCTGTTTTCTGCCTTTTAAAAACATTCTGCCTCAGTTACAAAAGTAGTGAATGTCAGCCGACCACGGTGGATCACACTTGTAATCCTAGCACTCAGGAAGCAGAGGCAGGAGGATCATCATAAACTTGAGGGAGGGCCTTGTTATGTGGCCAGGGTTGGCTAGAACTCTTGGTCCTTCTGCCTCAGCCTCCTAAGTGCCAGGATTACGTGATTTCTAAACAACAACAATAATGTCAGCCAGCAGGCTGGAGAGATGGCTCATAGGTTAAGAGCATTGACTGCTCTTCCAGAGGTCCTAAGTTCAATTCCCAGCAACCACATGGTGGCTCACACTCATCCTTTATGAGATCTCTGGTGTGCAGATATACTTGGAAACAGAATGTTGTATACATAATAAATAAATAAAAATCTTAAAAAAAAAAAAAGAAAGAATGCCAGCCAGCACCTGCAGTTTACTATGTCCTAGACATTGCTCTAAATTCTGCATGCACAGGAAATCGTTTGGTCTCCTTGACCCTGGAGGAAGGCATTCTTCTCTTCCTGTTTACAGGAAGGTGAGGTCTGGAGAAGGAAAACCCCTTACCTGAGGTCACCCACCTTTCAGAAGCAGAGCTCTGATGCCTGGCAGTCAGCCTCCAGAGCTGGCAGCCTAGCCTGACCCCTGCTAGCACAGCGCCTCATAGTGATACATCCTCCCCCACAGAGAGCTCAGAAAACAGAAGAGCAAACATCAGCCACCGAAAGGAACAGCTGTAGGCATTTAAGGACACATGGCCCACTTTGGGAGGGAGTGGCAGAGTCATTGCTGTGAGTTTGAGGCCAGCCTGGTCTACATAGCAGTTCTAGGACAGCCAGGGCTACATAGAGACCTTGTCTCAATAAAAAAAAAAAAAAAAAAAACAAAAAACAAAAACACTTCCCAAAGTCTTTCCCATTGTGTATTCCCGGTGCATCTATGCAAATGAGATCACGTGACTTGGGCTCTTTGGTGGCTTTTTCTCTATTTTGCCAACATGAGTTCTTGAGTTCTTCTCATGTCAGTAGAATCTGTCCTGTAGCCTGATGCTAATGGAAATGCCTGGTCCTGCAGTGCAGGTTATGCACTGGGCCTCCCGCATTGGTGGATGTGCAGCTAAGGTCCCTGTTACAAATGACATGGAGGTGAATACTGCTTGCCCTTTCTTGCATACCTCCACAAAAGGAGGGTCTTAGTGGATACACTGGACAGGGACCCCACCCTGTCACTTCAGAGGTGCAGCTTGAAGCTGTGGCACAAAACAGGACAAAGCCTTTCCTTGCTTCTGTAGTCTGCTCCAGACCAATCACAGTTTTGTCTTGTGTGTGTGTGTGTGTGTGTGTGTGTGTGTGTGTGTGTGTTGAGACACTGTTTCTCTGTGTAGCTCTGGCTGTCCTGGAACTCAATATGTAGACAAGGCTTGCCTCGAACTAACAGAGATCCACTTGCCTCTGCTTCCTGAGTGCTGGGCTCCAATCACTGGTGCTAAAGTCACGATTTCATTTTGAATTCCCTGGACATAGAGAGGGAGACTCAGGAACTCTAGCAGACTATCACAGGCCACCCTGAGCCACACTGAGTAGTTTGGTAGGCAGCGCTCACAGGTCCTCATTGGGGACAGTGATTACTAGGTAGGAATGAGGGACTTCCATGGCCCAGAACTATTACCCGCTGTACCAGCCCATCATGCTTTGTATGCACAGAACAAGTGCAAGGTCAATGACTCAAAAGTCCAAGACAACAACCTAAATGTCAGCTTTAGGCCTATCTGGATGTGGGGACTGTGTATCCCCAGAGGCAACAGACCCATACAGCTGGCCATAGAAAACAGTTTGGATTGCCACCAAAGAGGGCAACTCTAATGAGGTCTGTGCTATTTCTGTGCTTAACCTCTCTGTTCAGAAGTAGGTGTTAGGACTGGGGATGTGGTAGAGCGCTTGTCTAACATGTATGAAGGCCTGGATTCTTCTGTCTCCAGTACAGCATAAAAACAAAAAAAAAGAAAGAAGAGGAGGAGGAGGAGAGGGAGGGAGGAGAGAGAGGGGGGAATATCATAGAAGAGAATGCAGAGTCCTGAAGGACTGTTGAGGTCAGCTGGGCTTCTGGAGGAGAAGGCTGGGCCCAGAAGGTGGGGCCAGCTCTCTAAACATTAGGTTCTGCTTGCCAAAGGTTTGTTTGTCCCTGGCCTGGCCTTCCTCCCCAGGGCTGAGTAATCTAGATAGTTGACGTTCTGCACGAAAGAGCAGGCTTGCTGGCCAGCCCTAGGCATGTCTTTGCTGGAAATTGTTGGTCCCTGCATCCTGTAAATTTGTAACTGCTGTGGGCCTAGGAAGCCCAGGATGCCTTCGGAGGATGAAGCTGGCATGTGGAGAAGGCCACGGTGGGAATACAGGCAGTCCTGGGTGGCCGTGCCTCATCTCTGAGTAGAGAAAGAAGTCCTTCCTTCTGGGTTGTTTATCATCCCTTCCTCCCTCCTCCTCAACATATTTCCCCCAGTCCTGCCTGAAATGAACCCTGGCATGGCTGAACCCTTGATGTGTGAGGTACCAGCTACTTTACTTGGTTGTGCCTTAGTTTTCCCATCTCGAATCTGCTCCTTCCTCCTGGTGGTGTCATCAAAGTCCAATGAATCCATTCATGGTTTCTTCAAACTATCTGTGACATAGTTGTTAACTTTAGCCGATGATACAAGACTCTCAACCAACCACACGGTGCACTTCTGTTTAAGCTCTGATCCATGATAAAATTGATGAGGTCTGGAGTGGACACTCAGGCCATCGTCAGCTTTAGGCATCTCTCAGCATTACCCTTTGATGGGAAGGGAAGGGAGTCACCAGCCAGCCTGGACAGAGGCCTGGAGGAGGAGTGAGCTGCCATCTGGCAGCCACTATGTGCATAATGAGTGCATACCCCAGCTCTACCGTGTTACCACTGAGGTCCCTCACCCACTGGTAGTATCCACATCCTGATTCACCCATGGGGAGGGGCATGGCACCTTGCCTATCTTTCTGTTAAGCAATAAAAGGATAAGGAGTGGGGAGTCAAGACTTCAAGGTTGCAGGCTGTGAACTCTGTCCCTGTTCATCAGGTTGTCCTGCCAGACTGTTGTGGCAGAAGGAAAGCAAAAACATGTTCTGGGACCTCCATTCACTGGCAACCTTCCCTTCTCCTCCCTTCCCCTCCCCTGTGGAACCTAAAGCCAGACTATTTCTACAGCACCACAGGGAAACCTTGACCTTGTGTGCACTTTACATCCTAGAATCTGGCATTAGTCTCTGGTGATCAAACCCTTAAGCTCCAAGCTGTTCTATTCAGAGAAGCTGCTATCAGCCATGTGCTACTATTTCTAATGCCATCTTTAATTAGTCAAGATTTATATAAAAGTATAAATTCAGACTTCCACACA